TCTTTCTTTCTTTCTTTCTTTCTTTCTTTCTTTCTTTCTTTCTTTCTTTCTTTCTTTCTTTCTTTCTTCTTTTAAATGACACACGTAATTAGGTTTTTGGTTTCTTTTGCATGCCCACAGTACCTACTACAATGCTTGACTCACAAAAAAAAAAAAAAAAAAAAAAGAAAGGACTTGTTGACTCAAAAGGAGAAAAAAAAACCAACTTACTTCAACATGCGTCCTTAGAGACACATTCCCTAGTTCTTATTCCCTATGGTTTTTATAAAAATAGACTAGGACTAAACTGTGTTACAGAAACAAACTCAAGCTTCTGGAAATACTGGATTGTGCCTGTTTACTTTTTACCCTTTTCCTGACAATTATAGGAAAACTGCATGTGATCGCACGTGCTTTGCGCGCGCACGCGCGCGCACACACACACACACACACACACACACACACACACACACACACACCCCGCACGCATAGAGGGCTCGTTCACCTTGAGTTTTCGCTAACATTCTCATTCACCAGGAATCAGTTTAGGCACGCACTGTTGTAATGATTGAAAAGAGGAGTTATTTCTTGAGCCAGGTGTGGCAGCACTGACCGGTATTCCCAACACTCCAGAGAAGTCTCTGCATTCGAAGGCCAACCTGAGCTGGAAAGCAAGTTCAAGATTAGCCTGGGTACATAGCAAGATCCTACCTCAAAATTAGATTTAGTCATCTCTTCAATGATACAATAATGATAGCAATAATAGTATACATACTATTCCAAAGAACACAGGGTTTGGTAAATGTAAGCTTTGAGAAGATATGTTTAGGGATACATTTCAACAAAATAATTGGTTTGGGTTTAGAAAAAAATGTTTGCATTTGCATAGATTATTCATGCATGTGGCTCTTTTCTATTCTGCTCTGAGACAGAATATGTAGTTCTGTCTCTATGTAGTTCCAGAGAGCTTAGGACTCACTGTGTAGACCAGACTTGCCTTGACCTCACAGAGACCCTCTTGCTCCTCCTTTCTGACTGCAGGGATTGAAGATGAAAGGCACCGTGACCAAGATGTGATTCTTTAAAGGCTTCAGGTTTTTGTGAACTTGATTTGCATTTAAAATAGAGCAAAGCACAATTTCCCGCCCTAATCATCAGTATTTATATTTCCACAGAAAGGCAGCTGAAAGACTAGCCTCTGGCTTTGGGTCACCTTGTTTCAAACTGTGCCTTAGTTTCCTAACCCGAGTTTCTTGCTCATGTGTGACTCCCAGGAGTGGGCCTACACAAACAGAAACAGGGGAAACAGAATCCTGTTTAAAAGTTCTAGCTTTTGGGTTTTGTTTTTTTATATTTTGGGTTGTGAACCTAGCCTTTAATAGCTGAATCATTTTTTCAGCTCTATTTTTGTTATTTTAAAGATTTACTTTTTTGTGTGTGTGTTTTTGTTTGTCTGTCTGTATATATCATGTATGCTGTAAATAAAAAAAAATGTGTGTTGGGCTATATAATGTTTATTTATTTAGTCCTAAGATTATCACAAAGGTATTACTTAATTCCCTATCACAAATAATAAGACATAGACACCTGTTAGATTTTATAATTGCCTTATTTACATCGGGCCAGACAGATATTTCACTTACACCGTCTCAATAACCTCACCCACCATCCATCTCCCAGCCCCCGTCCATTGCCATCCGCCTTAATCATTCTCATCTGAACTATCTTCCACCATAATCTTTATAAACACTTGCTTTTTTTCTTCACCTGGGCCTTTCCACGCCATTATTGGAGTCCTTCCTCTCGGCCCGTGTGGTTTTTCTCCACACTAACCCACTGTGGCCTCCTTCCTCCTCTCTTCCCTTCAGTCTGATTTCCGTGATTCTCTCTTGCACCCAAAAGCCTGGGGAACCTTTGCCATGCATACCCCATACTGCCCTGCCCAGGTATAGGCCGTTTAATCAACCAGTCTGGTATGTCTTAGGCAGGTTTACAAAACAAATATAGGTGTAACCAGATCTTGAGGGCCGGTAACAGGAATCAGACAAACCTCCAACACCTGTACATGCGTGTTCCTGAGGAACCATAGGTGTCAAATCCCCTGGAGCTGGAATTTCCAGCAGTTGTGAGCTGCAAGGTGGTGGTACTTGAACTTGGGTCCTCTGGAAAGGTAATGCATATTCTTAACTAGTGAGCCATCTCCTCATACCAAGCTCTAGCTATTTGTTTGTCCATTTATTTTTTTATTTATTTAGGTTTTTCAAGACAGGGTTTTTCTGTGTATCCTTGGCTATCCCGTACTCACTTTGTACACCAGGCAGGCCTTGAGCTCACAGAGATCAGAATGCCTGCCTCTGCCTCCTTGAGTGCTGGCATTACAGATGTGCACCACCTCGCCCAGATAAGCTCTAGCTTTACGGAAACAGGGATTTCCCTGGTCAAGTTGGCTTCACACCTCCTCTATAGTCACCCATTTCCCCAAGTCTTTCTACTGAATCTGTGGGGTACATTTTTTTTTCTTACTTGTTCTCCTCTAAGCACTACTTGAATACTCCGTCCCATTCCAGATTCCTTTGGTCTTTTGAGACAGAGTTTCTTATAGGTCAGACTGGCCTCAAACTCAGTACATAGCCAAAATGGCCTTGGGTTTCTGATCTTCCTTCCTCCACCTCCCAAGTCTGTTGTTACTAGCATGTAATACCATGTCCATGCCCTGTTTTTATGTGGTGCTAGGATCCTAATCCAGATCTCACTGCACATGAGGCAAGTACTCTGCCAAATGGTCTACATCCCCAGACCCCAACCTCACCCTTGTTTCAGCCGTCAAAACTTCCCTGTCTCTAATACTATTCCTTCAGGAATTTGCTAGGCAAAGTAACATAATTTAAGAAAAGAATTATAATAAGAATGTACATTGCTTTCGGTTAGTATATGGGATGGCTAATCTTGCTTGGCGACTTGATGGGATTTAATATTACCCTGGAGATGAGTCTCCAGTTCTGTCTGAGGAACATTTTAGATTAGGTTCATTGGGGGCTGGGGCACCCACCCTAAGTGGGGGTGGCATCACTCTCCAGGCTGGGTCTTGAACTAAATAAAAAGGGGAAAAAGCAAGCTGAGAACTATGGGGCACCACTCTCTGCTCCCTGATTGTATTCAGTATGAACACCCACGCAGGCCCATGCCGCCTCAACTTCCCTAGGTGACTGACTGACTGCACCCTTTAACTGTGACCCAGATCAAAGTCTTCATTTTTCTGTTTGTTTGTTTTTTGAGACAGGGTTTCTCCATGTGGCCCTGGCTGTCCTGGAACTCGATCTGTAGACCAGGCTGGCCTTGAACTCACAGAGACCTGGCTGCCTCTGCTTCCCAAGTGCTGGGGTTTAAGGCATGCATCACCACCACCCTGCTAAAACTCTTCTATCTATTAAATTGCTTTTTTTTTTTTTTGTCCCAGCAATGAGGAAAGTAATTAATGCAATGTAATACAGAAAAATTGTTCAATGCTTGGAATATTCAAAACCATGAACATGGGGCTGGGGGATAGTTCAGTTGGTAAAGTCCTGGCTACACAAGCATGAAGACCTGAGTTTGAGCTCCAGCACACACATGAAAAGACAAGTATGTCCATGTATGCTGGTAATTCCTGCCCTGGGGAGGTAAAGCTAGGCAGAGTCCTGGGGACTTATTGGCCAACCAGCCTTGTCTAATCAGCCATGAGTGCTAGTGAGAGACCATGCCAGAAATCAAACTAAAACATCAAAAAACAAAACAAAACAAAAAAAACCTCAGAAGGCTGATCGTTCCTAATCTCTGGCCTCCATGTACACGGGCACATATGTAAACATGCGCTTGAAAGACCCCCTGGAGGGTATCTTTCGTCTGAGAGACCCCCTCCCAAGGAACAACGAGGCCAGGCGTTCGGATGCAATCAGCAAGAGGCTTTTATTTTGATACACGGGTACCCGGGGCGACAA